AACAACTATGGATGTACTCAAGTTTGACAGCCCTGGACAAATTTCAGTCCTGACAAATTAAAAATTAGTATCAACATGCAAGTAGGCATTCTGCACTATTAAAAGCATTAAAAAGGTCAAATACATAAGTGAAAACTTCTTTTCACAAATAATCATACTAATTGTCATATGGTCAGGTACAAATTTATGTCATTCATCCAACAATGTTTCACATGTGTACAAAACATAAGCTTCACATAAGTGCTCAGCAATACTCAGTGGCTATGTCTGTACTAGCAATAGCATGGGCCAATAGAAGCGTGCCTGTAAAGTGGAAGAGTTGATTTTAAGGACAGATTCCTTATTATACGTGTTCCAGGGGCTTTCTGCTTTGGACTAGGTCTCAGATTGAATCTCAAAGACTGAAGGCTCATTAGTGGCTGGAGTGCATTAGGCACATTCCTGCAGTGCATCTTCCAGACTATTTTGTCCAAAAGGAATCCAGTCCAGGTCACTCCCCAGGATCACTCCACATTGCAAACCAAAGCGGGGGCGAACAGGAGATTCACTTCAAAACTGCATTGCTGATGCAAATGAAACCACTTGCTAACACACTCATTGCTGGATGCTACTTATTAGGGGGGAAAAAAAAAAAAAGTCTTTAAAACAAAGAGAAGTCTAACTTCTGAAGGCCTGGCATGGCATTTGAGAAGAATGATTTTGATATAAAATTAGCCTATGAGATGGAACAAAAGTATTTCAAGTTTGATGCAAGACTTCACAGTCAAGTCTATGAAATACAAGCTGATCACACCCATGTGGACATGAATCACTTTACTGGAACGGCATGCACGTGAAACTGAAAGCAGAAATACATTTTTATGACAAACTAGAGTTAGACACTTATGAAAGTTTTAGGTATTTTAGTCAGTAACGTTCAATAAATGCTTCAGTACTGTCAGACAGCGACGAAACACATTAACACAGATTAACTCAACTCTTGTCAGATTGCAAGCAGGAACACAAATATAGAGGAAGTATTTAGTAAGTTTGAGCAATCTGAGTGCACTGGTTAACCGTTAAAATAAAAATCCATTACTCTTAACACTGAGAAACTGCTGGTAAAGTGCAACAATTATGGTGATAGCAATCGTTGTTGCCTCAAGAATGTCTAGACATTCCCTGCAGTGAGTCTTCTGTCACACCATCTCGTCTAGCCAGGATGTTCCTTTGGTGCTCCTCGTCATGAAAACAGTTAAGCACAGAAAATGTGAAGGGGTTTAAATCACATTCTTGAAGAGGAGCATGTGCTTTTAGTACTTTTCTGAACGCAAGTATTAATTGCTGGATATGATTTCTTCAGACACCAAATCAGAACTGCACTCTCTATCCAGCAACAGTGACATGATTTGCACCAGGGAGAATGGTCACTTATAAAATTTGAGCCTTGATATTTTTACTAGACTTCTCCACTCTCCTACCCCACCCCATTAAAAAAACAAAAATTCTAGTGGATTTCCTTCCCTCATCTAAAGAGTTACTAGAAAGTTTTTAGAGTTGAAATGTAATTATCAATCTCAATTTCATAACAGCAGGTTTTTATTTTATTTATTTTCTTCTTAGATTAAGAAAGCTAAATATTATTCACTTGTTATTCTAAGTTACATTTAGTTACTAACAGGCAAAGGTGAAAGCATTACAAATACTTGACAGATTACAGTCCTACATTTTCTAAAATGTGGCTTAGTTCTCTAAATATAGTTCCATGTTTGTTGAATTTCTCTCTTGTATTCTCTGTTTTATTCAAATGCAGAGGATTTAATGGAAAAAGTCCAAGTAATAATCATGACATGACCTCTAACATATTAAACATTTTCCTTAAAGTGGAGAGGCAGAGGGTCACAAAATGTCACATTCCTTGTTTAGGGACATTATTTCGGTACCCGCCAGTGCAGAAAATACTTGATCACAGCCAAACTGAAGTGGTCTGAGCAGACACGACACTATTTACTCTGACTACCTTACACAGAACACAGGTAGAAGTAGTCATAATTTGATTCCAAGGCTTGTGGAGCTACAGGAGAAGAGAGACAGCATGGCCAGGATCTTGAACAAGAGTACATGAGCAGAGCTACGCTTTTGGAAGGATGTGGCAAAAACTAGCTAGACCTTTGTAGAAATTAGGTTAAACCTTTCATCCTGCAGACTATACCTTAGAGCAGCAGGCTCTGCTGGCACAGCTAATGGTCTAAGGACTGAAACTGAGTACTGACATTGCCACAAAAGAAGACGCTATGATTTCATTTGCTCTCTCTCATAGCACACTAGTTGTAGAGGGCAAAGTGCAATAATCTCGCAAATATTTATTCATTAATTCAAAAATGAACTACCAAGGCAGAACAGTGATGGGGGAGATGCTGAGAGAGCATGTTGGTTAAAGTAACCTACAAAAATCCTTTTAAGTTGCAATAGCCAGAGCATGCCACATCTGTAGGCCAAACTGTCTCAACCTACAGTTTTCACCATCTCCACAACTGATGTATATCCCTGCAGTCTGCCTAAGCTTTATTACTTTTGTCTGGTTTTTTCTTAGATTGTGGGATAACTATTTGCTGAATATTTAATATTCAACTGAAGTTTCTTTTCCTTTCATGGGAAAATAAAATTAGGCTTCAGCATCTAAATACATAAGATAGCAAGCAAAAGGAGCACTTTGAATATCGGGATTTTTTGATGTTATCTCATGGAACTACAGAAGAGAAGAACAGAAGTTTTTTTTCAGGATGTAAGGCATCTATACCAGTTAAACATATATAGAAAGCATATTAAAGTATGCTGTTACCAACCAAAAATTCTTTCTCACTAGAATTCACTTAATCCTTTATTATGCATACAACTTAAGCCATTTTTTTCTGATTAAGGAATCTTTACTCCTAGATGGACAAGTAAACATATGGAGTCATCACACAAACATATTGAGGTGAGTCTAACTAAAGTAGTAATTATTTCACATTTTAAAATACCAGAAATAATATTAATTTCAACCACAGCTTTTTAAATTATCACCAAAATCTAAGAGAAATCGATGTACTTTTGGGTGTCCCGGGGGGTAGTACAGAAAGAGTAGGGGGTATTGAAAGTCCCAGGTACATTATCTTAGATCTTCAGTCCTGGAATATCTGGACTACCTTACCCTGTAACCACACACTGCAAAGCTGACAACAGAAATGCTGGAATATAGACTGGAAATGTTATGAACTCACCTCTTCCTCTTTCCACCCCCATTTCCCCAACAGACTTAGGCTAGAAAAAAGCAACAAATATCCACAGTTATCCTCAAATCTAAGTTCACTAGAATAAAAATTATGTCTTTGAATGCTGAATTCTGTAAAAAATCAGCTTTCTCTTTCTGTGAGCTACACATACGCTTTGAAACCAAGCGTGTACCTTGAAAGGTGTGGCCAGTGAGCAAACCTGAATCAATATATTACACTTGTTTGTACTTTACTGATCCCTAAGAAAGTAATTTTACAGTCCTCCACCTCAACAGCTGTGAGCTGTAATTGTGTCATTCAGATTTTTTGCACAGAACTTGTCCATGGACAGATCAGTATACGTTTCCCTACTTTTCATAAAAAGAAGAGCATGCGTTGAAAATCTTACAAAATGGAACCACGTAAGACTTTATTTCATAGTGAAAACTCAATTTAAAATGGCACCGTAAGAATGAGACTACTTTCCAGGCTAGTCAGTTCACTGACTTACAGCTTCAGTACCTTTGATGTATGGCCTGCATGCAGAGTTTAACCAGCGTGGCCACTTGATCACATGACAGATAAAAACAACACATTGAAAATAAACACGTATCACAGATACTGATGTTTCTGGCAAAACATGATTCTAACAGCTCAGTTCTGCACACTTGATCTTCTGTATCTAATCTTTTTTTATTATTATTTTTTACTGTTTAGAAGTTATGAGTCATTCTCTAGGATAAAAAAACCCAAAACAATAAGATAAGTATAAGCCAATTTAATATGTCTCCCTGCCAGAAGACTTTTACTTAGCTACAGACACTTTCTTGTTTCTCAAATGAGTCTTCAACTTTGATTTCACATAGCTATTGATTTCCCAAGTTACAAAACCAAGACTGCATCTTTAATCCACAGTTGCACAACTGTGTTACCATGCTCTGCTCCAGTTAACCAGTTATGAATAAAGTTACAGTTTTTGAACAAGCTTAGTTGTCTGTTCTTCAGAGACTTTTTAAACTACTGTCAGAATTCTGGAAAACAAAGCTGTAGTTGTAAATGAAAAAAAAAAAAGTCTCACCTCCACAGACCAGGACTCAGTAGGCAAACACACTTCCCTATTTTGAGGATAACTTGCAAAATACCTTGTCTAACTTCCCTACATGAAGGTGATCAGAATATCAACATATTTGTGCCAATGCAAGTAAGATATACCTTAAAGAATTTTTCTGAAATGAAATGCACTTTTAAACAACCTTTTGAACAGCTGATAGAAAACAAGTTCATACTCTTAGAAACTAGTTTTAGCTGCAGCATCACAGAGTAACCTAAGAAAAAAACCACAGTGACCTCCAACCTGAAAAAAGCTCCAGCTCCTGGATCAACCTTTCTCAATTTACTGCAAGACCTGGGAGGAGAGCTTTACAGGAAAGGGCTTCTAAACACAAATCTGAGAAACAAGAAAACGATTTTTAAGGAACAGCATCTGCCTCTTGAATGACTGCAGTTTTTCAAGTACTGAAAACCGATGCTGACAGCAGTGCACCTTTTTTTTCATCGGGGTTTTTTTTGCGTTTTTCTACATAGGAATTTCTGGTTAAAACAATAAAGAGGTGGAAGTGAAAGTGTTACAGACTTACACCAAGGAGGGGAGGTCGGGGGGGTGGGGAGGAGAAAGAGAAGAGGGGTTAAAACCCACAAAACAAATCAGTATATGTATCATTCAAATAAAAGGCGCAACAATTACAGAGAAACTTTAAAGCAACTTACCTCGAGGGAGAGAGATCAAAGAGCTGTTTTCAGTCGGAGCTTGCTCTGGCCCTTCAGGCCCCGGAGGAAGAGGTTCTCTCACTTGGGACATCTGCCAGCTCTCTCACCGAGTAATAAGGCGCCTGCACTCCCCTCTAACAAAACTAACACGCGACCCTGCAGGAAGAAGCAAATGAAAGGGCTCGTTAATGTATTTTATGCAGAAAACTCACGGCTCGGGGGCGAGGGATTGAGGAGGGACAGCGACGAAGCGGCGGCAACTTTGCGGCGCGGTGACGGGCGCGCCG